TTTCTGATATCTTCTGATAAGTTGTTGAAAAGTCTGGTACCCCGGATGTTCATACAGTGTTCCTTTATTGTCCCCACCGCACCCATGCTCCTCACTGGGTTTATTTTACACTTCCTCCCATATCTCTCACTCCAGTATGTTAGTATGTTGTTATGGCAGTGTGCAGATTTGGGACCAATCCCTCGAGTACCTTCCAGATATATACTATTATCATGTACCTCTCTCTCCTCCACTCCAATAAGTACATGTTCAAGACTTGCAGGCGTTCCCAGTAGTTTAGGCGCTTTACTGGCTCAATGTGAGCCTTAAACGATCTCTGTATTTGTTCCAGCTCCGATATTTCTCCTGAACATGGGCGGAATTGTTAAAAAAAAAGAATTATGGTATGTCTCACCTTGCCCAGGAATCGAATTAAAGATCCTGTCACTTGTGAGCCAAACATACTATCTGATGATGGTTCAGCATAACACAATAGTGCAGTTTGAATGGTGTGTACCTAGGGGTAAGGACCTCTTTACTGGAATGAATGCTACTATTTCCCCAGGGTGTTTGGCAAAGAACCCAGTGTCCTTTAGCATCAGTGGTGGGCTTGGTGGGGATATTTCCACTTTTTTCTAAATTTACTGACACTTATGGCTAATGACATGTTACAAATTATGGATATGTGAAAAATACTTTGGTTAGTTTACTTGATTTGTGATCATGAATTTTTGTAATATTTAGTGAAGGGATTCAGGGAAACCGGTTATTTTTATATAGCCGGACTTGAGTTCTGGAAATGGGAAGTAGTACGATGCCTGCACTTTAAAGGAGGGGTTTGGGATATTGGCAGTTTGGAGGGATGTGTAATAGGATGGTATATATGTAATTGGAGCCCTGATATTGTAATTATTTCAGGTCACTTTTTATATTGTATCTTTATATATGCTTCTAAACTGTTGTATCTGGGTGCCTCTGCAAAAACAGTGATTATGTATGAGTGAGGTGAAAGTGTTGAATGATGATGAAAGTATTTTTATTTTGAGGATTGTCTTTCTTTTTGGGTCACCCTGCCTAGGTGGGAGACGGCCGGCTTGAAAAAAAAAAAGGGGGGGCAAGTTGATAATGATTGTGCAAATATGAAAATGTTAGAAATGGAACATGTTTCAAACATTTAATGACCAATTGGTTTAGCGCTTATTCAGTATACAGTATCATTCAGCTTCAGTAAATAAATTCCTACCATTAAACATCGTTCCTGGCACGCAAAGAATTTTTAAAAGTACCAAGTCTATGTCTCATCCACAGTGTAGATTTCCTTATATATCTGTGGGACATCCACAGTAAATGGGAATGATCATGAATTTTTTTCAAGAGACTATTGATTCAGGAGGGGACAGTGCACTATAAAAAACAGTAGCAGGTTGGTAGACAGCAACCACCCAGAGAGGTATTACTGCCATGCAAAATGCATGTGAAATGGAAACCTGTAATTGTTTTATGCAGTGGTAGGATTGCTGGTGTCTTTTTTGTCTCAGACATACAAGATGACAGATATATCTTGCTCCATCTACTTACATTTACTGGTAGTTCATAATACAGTACACATACTTGGACTTCCGGCAAGCGTGCGTGAGCGTGTTAGATAGGAGTGAATGGAGACGAATGGTATTTGGGACCTGACGAGCTGTTGGAGTGTGAGCAGGGTAATATTTAGTGAAGGGATTCAGGGAAACCGGTTATTTTATATAGCCGGACCTGAGTCCTGGAAATGGGAAGTACAATGCCTGCACTTTGAAGGAGGGGTTTGGGATATTGGCAGTTTGGAGGGATATGTTGTGTATCTTTATATGTATATGCTTCTAAACTGTTGTATTCTGAGCACCTCTGCAAAAACAGTGATTATGTGTGAGTGAGGGAAAAGTGTTGAATGATGATGAAAGTATTTTCTTTTTGGGGATTTTCTTCCTTTTTTTTGGGTTGCCCTGCCTCAGTGGGAGATGGCCAACTTGTTGAAAAAAAAAATCCACTTTTATTTTCTTCTGCTTTCTTAATAGTTCTTGTTCTTATATTCCTTTCATCTCCATAGGGAGATGGAGAATCCTTGTCTGTAAGCCATGGGTGTTGTAAATGGCAACTAAAATGCTAGGAACAAGGGGCTAGTAACCCCTTCTCCTGTATAATGTACAAAATATAAAAGTAGCAGTTGTTACTGTTATATTTTCAGATATGAAACTTTTGGCCTAAACTAAAATTATTTTCACAGGAAATGTGCCCCAACGACTACCACAAAGAAATCAAGGCTTCAACATGAATTGTCCAAGAGAATATGGAGGGTGGGATGTTGACTGTGGACCTGGTGCAAACAATGATCCTTCAAACACACGCCCTACAAATAACCAGAGAATGGGCAACTTCAATAAAGGGGACTGTAAGCTGAGTTTATGTTGTTTAGTAGCATAAGTTGCAGTGTGAATTGAATAATGTTGACTGTATCAGTATAAACACTGTACTGGGAATGACGATAAGAATGTAGTTTTTTAGTGCATAAATACAGATATTCATTAAAAAAGTGGAGGATTTACAACATAGAACAATCAGATTCACAACTGTGACAGTCTTGCCAAGGTATGGCATGAATTTGTAATATTGAGTTCAGGTCTTGGTTCTTACAATTTTCTATTCCTTTCAAACATTTTAAAATTTTCATTTCATTTGTAGCATTTATATGATGAAAACTAATAATTAGTGAATTGTCAATTTCACAGTTAACTCATGCAGAGGACATCTGCGGAAAACTTTTGGATTTCAAGAGAAGTCTCTACTGGGTGAATATCCTGGCCCAGGAAGCTCTGGTCCAAGAACATCTTTTAATCCTGACTCGGTGAATACACGTCCAACACAAGAAGGCAGTGTCGACAGAGGAGGCGGTGAGTGTTTTGACCTTGGGGTCTAAGGATTTTGTGACTTAATATTGCCTTGGTTAAATTTGAAGAATGTGTTTTTATGTGAATTGTGCAATCATGGTGTCTGCTTTAAAATGTATGCACCCATTAATTCTGATGGCATCCTTTTGCAATATATGGTACATCATCATCATAATATTAATTGTGCAAAATATTTTCTAAAATAAATTTTTATACTAGTACAAAAATTTAAATGAAAGATACTGTTGTTCAATATAAACAGTATACTTTAATTTATAGTATTTGCAAAGTTAAATGTTTATTTTCATTGGTATACATGTATATGCATACATATTTTTTTAACAGAATGTAACAAACTTTATTCAGCAAAAATATGTTTTTTCAGGAAAGAACCTCATTACTCATCACATTGAAAATATTGTGTGCATGTGTGTGCTTGTTTATGTGTATTGTACTGTTATGTTATAATACTTGGGATATTGGTGATCTCTCTCTGTTTCTCTCCAGTTTATTTTAGAGGATTTTCACATTTCCCTGTTATATGTTTATGGACAAAAAACTTCGTTATTTACATAATGGTTTGGCAAGTTAGGGATATGTGGTTCAGTAAGTTTATTGTTTGAATGTTGCCTTTTTGGCCTTTCCAAAAGTATCATGTTGATCACTAACATAATGTTATACACCAGTGTGCACCAGTAATAAAAATGATTCTTTACAGCTTTAATTACAAACACAAACTGTTAAGGTACCATCAACACATAAATTACTAAAAAAAATTCTGTTGGAAGATAAATAAAATAACATCATTGGTACTCATATGAACAGTCTTCAAGAAACTGAACAAAAGAATCTTCACATTAATATTTACAAGTTTTTTTTTTTTTTTTTTTTTTTCAACAAGTCGGCCGTCTCCCACCGAGGCAGGATATTTGAGCATAATGTTAGGTATGCAGCACTGGCATGGAATTACCCCCACACCTAGCCAAACAAACACAAGCCAGCCATACCAAACTTACGTACTAAGAGAGCAAATGTTCTTGAAGTTATGGAGGGCAGATCGAACAGTTACAGGTGGTAGTTGGACATTGATAATGGAGGATCAGGGTGAGACATAGAAGTGTTTCAAGATTCATATTATTTTATTATTTTTTTTATTAACACACTGGTCGATTCTCACCAAGGCAGGGTGGCCCGAAAAAGAAAAGCTTTCATTATCATTCACTCTATCACAGTCTTACCAGAGGGGTGCTTTACACTACAATTATAAAACTACAACATAACACCCCTCCTTCAGAGTGCAGACACTGTACTTACCATCTCCAGGACTCAAGGCCGGCCTGCTGGTTTCCCTGAATTCCTTCATAAATGTTACTTTACTTACACTCCAACAGCACGTCAGGCATTAAAAACCATTTGTCTCCGTTCACTCCTATTAAATACGCTCAGACACGCTTGCTGGAAGTCCAAGCCCCTCGCACACAAAACCTCCTTTACCCCCTCCCTCCAACCCTTCCTAGGCCAACCCCTACCCTGCCTTCCCTCCACTACAGATTTATACACTCTTGAAGTCATTCTGTTTTTGCTCCATTGTCCGAACCACCTCAACCACTCCTCAGCCCTCTGGATAATAGTTTTGGTAATCCCACACCTTCTCCTAATTTCTAAACTATGAATTCTCTGCATTATATTCACACCACACATTGTCCTCAGACATGACATCTCTACTGCCTCCAGCCTCCTCGTTGCAACACTCATCACCCATGCTTCACACCTATACAAGAGTGTTGGTACAACTAAACTCTCATACATTCCCCTCTTTGCTTCCACGGACAAAGTTCTTTGTCTCCACAGACTCCTAAGTGCACTACTCGCCCCTTGAGCAAATGCAGCATGTAAGCCAAAGTTCCATAAGAACGATTGTGAGGAATGAAGTGTTGCCTCACAGAAAAAATGTATATGCATATGTTGTAGCCTGTGAATTGGTTGAAAAGCATGTTAGCTGAGTAAAGGAAGTAGATTGATAAGTAAGATATGTGCAACAGTTTTTTTTTTATTAACACATCGGCCGTTAGGTATCTTTATTCCGAAATGTTACGCCTACACAGTAGGCTTTTTCAGCCAAGTACAAAAGATTTATGAAGGCAATGTGAAGATGATGTAATCAGTCCATCACCCTTGAAGACTTAGTTATGAGGTGGTCAGTCCCTCAGCCTGGAAATGAGTTTTGGCCCATAGTCTGGAACTAGGTGAAGTTGAAGCAACAGTTTGGAGACTTGTATACTGTCAAAGGCAAGGCACATCCCACTAGTAAAAGAATGTAGTCATTGAGAGGGCAGGTCCCTCTCAGATCCATCCATTCTCACTTGAAAAAGTTGTTGAAGATGTTTTCTTTACCAGGATACCATTGTGTCACAGTGTTTGACAAAGTAAATATTAAAATGGTATACAATACTGACAGGTTAGTAAGACACATGTGCAACAGTTAGGTATCTTTATTCTGAAAATTTTCGCCTACACAGTAGGCTTCTTCAGTCGAGTATAGAAGAGTTACGAAGACGACGTGAAGACGATGTAATCAGTTCAGTGAGGGACTGACCACCTCAGAACTATGTCTTCAAGGGTGATGGACTGATTACATCATCTTCGTAACCTCTCTGTACTTGACTGAAGAAGCCTGCTGTGTAAGTGAATTATTTCAGAATAATACCTAACTGTTATCAGACATCAACCTGTTGGTAATGTATACCATTTCCATATTTACAAAAGAAATAGAATCCAGTATCAAACTGCAGCATGCAACAAGAGTGGCAGGACAAGTGAAGGATTGATCCTAACAGGTTGTTGCTAGCAGTGCCTCAAGGAGATGCTGAAGCTTGCCTAGTCTTTTGTGAGACTCGTGTGACAATAGACAAAAACTATGCAGCTTAAATGTAGGAAAATGTGGGGTTGGGGGGAAAGGAGTGAACCTTCATTATTAGGGAAGGACAAGCAGGTGGGGAACTGCTTGCAAAAATAAACCGTGGCAGTTTAATTAAAACAGGCATAGACATTATCAAAAGTGATATAGGGACCAAGCAGTTAACATAAAGTAAAGTCTAGAATCACTACATGGGGCACTCTGGGAAGAGAGGAAACAGGATAGCAGGAAAGCTGAGCAAGTGTTAGATGAGGACAAATTATCACTGTGGAAACAGGAGCCAAAGCATTATGGTAGTACCTTTGAAGGAACTTGATTCAAGTCAGTCCTGGGCGAGTAGAGACATGGACATGTTTCCTTACACCTGCTGCTCCTGTTTATCTTGCAGTGAAGAGGTACTCAAGTGTTTACTGCTTGTTGCTGGTGGCATTTTAGGGGATGAAAGCCCATCCTCTTAACCACAAACATTACAGCACTTGTAAAAACAATCAAATGGATGGCAGGTAATGGAGCCTGGAGCATTTGCAATACGACTGTTGTACATCAACCTCACATGGGGTACTCGTTTTCTGTTTGTACGGCAGACTTTCTTATTGCCTTTTCTCCTATATTTATAGGTTTTCCCATTGTAACTTACCTAATCTAACTTAGAAATGTGCTGCAAAGCATATGTGAGAAGTGATATAGGTATTAGGAGGGTTAAACAGTAGATAAGATGGGTTTGAAATGTGCTGTGGTAGGATAACAGCTCCCTGCTCATCAATTTAGCAGCATAAAAAAAAAATTGCCTATTCTCCAACAAATAACTAGAAATGGGTATATTGTCATTCACTGTTCTCAAGAAGGGAGACAATCAGCCTGATTGATCTAGTACTTGGCATAGATAATGGTTCAGTTTCCTCTTGAAGCTTTTTAAATCTGTTCCTGCTTTATTTCTGATATATGTTGAATAGTTTAGGATCATGGATGTTGACACTGTGTTGTTGTATTGTGCTCATAGCACGTTATTCTGAACCTTTCAGTGTGAGAGGTCCTCTGCTGTAAAAAAAAGAAAAGCTTATACAGAGCAGCAAAAAAAAAATTACAGGAAATATAAAAAACATTATCAAATATTAGATGGTTTAGAAAACTGATAAGTTGATAAATAAGATACAAGTGTCTCATTTATCATTACCAGATATATTAAAATGAATACCTTCCAGTGCCTTTTGTTGTCAACTTGTAATTTGTATTTAAAATTATATACATAGATGTAGAACATCTATATATCTTATGAAGCTGAAGAACAAGACAAGTGAATGTGGAATTTTAAGACAAAGAAATACATGTAGTACCTGTATCAAACTATCTAAAGCTTCTGCTTCTTGAAATTCAGTATTAAATGTAAATACTAGTGCTTTCTCTTCAATATCAACTATACGCTCTTCTAATTTCTTGAATACTGACAGCAGTGTGACTGTCATACTACAAGCATTTTGATCAAATATTCATCACATATATCTGTGTGAAGTTTAGAGCTACATCAGTAATATCTGCATCATTGTTTTATGTACAGGATCACTTTTCATCTCGGTGAATTCATTGAATCACTTCCTCAGTTAAGTGAGATTTCACAACATTGTGAAAGAAACAATATATTAGGTAAGGAGTACCAAATCTTCTATCAACCCAACAGACCCCAGACAACTACTGAACCCATTAGATCACTCATATTATTTAACCCTTTGAGGGTTTCGGCCGTACTAGTATGGCTTACGACCCAGGGTTTTTGACATACTAGTACGCCTAAATTCTAGCGCCCTCAAATCTAGTGGGAGAAAGCTGGTAGGCCTACATATGAAAGAATGGGTCTATGTGGTCAGTGTGCGCAGTATAAAAAAAATCCTGCAGCACACAGTGCATAATGAGAAAAAAAAACTTTGACAGTTTTTTTTGAATAAAACAGCGACTTTGCACTGTATTTTCGTATGGTATTTATTGTTGTATTCTAGTTTTCTTGGTTTCATTTTATAGAATGGAAGACATATTACAGAAATTGAGATGATTTTGACTGGTTTTACAATGAAAAGTACCTTGAAATTGAGTT